CATCAAAACCCAAACTCAGAAGCCATTAAAACCTTGAAGGTAAAAAAAGACTTTAAAGTTTCCCAATGTAACGCCGTTTGGCTGAGATCCAAATTGGTAAATATACCAATTTTCAATAGCAAAGCATTCGCATTTTTAATTTCTAAATTAAATATAACTGATGGAAATGTCCAATATGCGCAACCATGATCAAATGCCGAATTGGAACTTAATTGCGCAAATTGGTCATTTCCATCACTTATAGTTTAGAAATAAAAGAGGCAGGTGCTTTGCAATATACCAACTTGGAAATCAGCCATTAACAATTGTTAACAGTTTAATTTGATTATAATGTAATTATTTCTTTTAGATTGCCAAACATCTGCAAAGCCATCCACAGCACACTGAACACCATTGGTCACCAACAGCTCTCAACCCTACATCATACCAGCTACATTGTTCGGTGAGTTTTATTGTACAAATCAGTCATGCCCAGCGCAGGGCACTTGCATATGGAATTCTGCCAGTGCAGGGCATTTGCTTATGGAGTTCTGCCGACGTTGGGCATGACTGGTTTAAATATTAAGAAACGCGGTTGCTCCAAGTGCAATGCAAATATGTATGTACTTTTGTATGTTAAAAGTGCAACTAGGTAGATATGTAAACAGCAAAAAGTGTGGTGCAATAAATGTGAAAAGTCCAGTAGAATGTCTGTTCTAAGCGCAACAATATAAAAATCAGTTTCTTTTAATTCCAATTAACAGTAAATTTACTTAATTTGTGCCAACTGAGTTTAATGTAAATTGTGTAAATTATCATTTCGCGGTTGTTCACTCAAGAATTGATGCGTTTTTAAAAACAGACATTTTCGGTCATGAACAATATTTGCATCCGCTGCATTTGCATCAGTCAAAGAATGAATTATATTTTTATAAGAAAATAACCTAATTAAATACTTACATTACTTTCTTTTTATTTGCTATGTGCTTCGTTAATGTAAATACTAAAAAAAAATTTTTTCTAACATCATATTTGCTTCCTGAATGTGTTATATAATTTTGTATATTTTAAACTTCTTCACCCTATTTCTGTCCCTTTTTAAAAATATTAATATATTTTTTAAACTTTATTTGAAATGTTTAAATTGGTGTTGGATTAACTTAATTAATAGTATTGTAAATATGAGCATGATTTTATCTAAATAAGCTGATTTTTACTAAACTATAGTCATCTGCTTTTTGTATAAATAAAATCCATTATTTATGAATTATATTTCATTTGAGAAATAATAATTTGTTACTTTATTTTTCAGATATCAGAATCTAACTGGTTGCATCCACAATAATAATTTTACCATTTTATTTTAATTTCAGATTGCTGTGCAAAAGACGTGTTGAAGCATCAGCAGCTACGTTTATAAAAAATATATATTTTAATATATAAATTATTTATTTTTAGCTATTTAAATTTTTTTAATTTTTCGTTTAGATTGTATATATCGGAGTCATTGGATAATGAAGGTCTTCAACATGTTGGATGAAAGGGCAAGGGACAGTCTGACAAAGCATCCTTAGAAATGTCTCGATTCAGACGAGGTAGTTGCTTAATTACTAATGAACTTCAATTTTGCATACTTATAATTGTTTTATTTATTTTTTTAATATTTAGCGGAAACTCATCAAATTGCAATTTAATCTAACTGAGGATGAGGAAAATTACGAATGTTTGCAAGCGCCAGATGAGATAATTGTTTTAGACACTACTGCTGCATCAAGCCAGTCACAAGACATAACGCTACAAGCGCCACTATCGAATTCCGAAAATTTGGTTACACATATATAATATATATCTAGGTCTATATATAAGTCGGAAAAACGCAATCAAATTTTGCAAAATTGTAATGAAACTGAATTTTTGTGAACCATTATAAATGATTTGCAACTTTTAATATATATCAAAAGAAAGATAAATCGATTACCTTTCTTTTGATTATAATACTGTTAAAGTCGCTTAAATTTTTTATAGAAATTTTGCAACTTTTGAAAGCGTCTATATATAAGTCGGAAAAACGCAATCAAATTTTGCAAAATTGTAATGAAACTGAATTTTTGTAAACCATTATAAATGATTTGCAACTTTAAATATATATCAAAAGAAAGATAAATCGATTACCTTTCTTTTGATTATAATACTGTTAAAATCGCTTAAATTTTTTATAGAAATTTTGCAACTTTTGAAAGCGTCTATATATAAGTCGGAAAAACGCAATCAAATTTTGCAAAATTGTAATGAAACTGAATTTTTGTGAACCATTATAAATGATTTGCAACTTTTAATATATATCAAAAGAAAGATAAATCGATTACCTTTCTTTTGATTATAATACTGTTAAAATCGCTTAAATTTTTTATAGAAATTTTCCAACTTTTGAAAACAGCTATATGCAAACGAGTGGTAGTAATAATAAGCAATTAAGCAACCACATATGTATGTAAAAATATCTTTATTATTAATGTTAATTGTAATTTTTATTCATAATATTGATTACTAACTATTTATATTAGGTTAGCAATGTATTTTGAAAAATAAATTTTGCCAAATAAAAATCAAAAAAAATTTTAAGATTTTTTATTTACAAGTTTTTAAGGTTATTTTGAATTCGCTGTGAAGAGAATGCAACCCTGCGCCAGCTGAAGTGGGCAATGCTAGACGAGTGCAGCTATATGTTTTCCTTACGAAGTATCTGAATGAGTGCGACTGTGATGCAAGGCTCACACGTACAGGGGGAAAGTGGTGACAATCTGCACACCGCCCATACAAATGTCACCAGTTTTGAAGTGACCGAAACCCGCGGTTTCACCAGATTTGTCACCACTTTTGGCTGGCGGGTACTTTATTTCAGATAATTTATATATATATAAATACGAATATATTAATTTTTTTTTTTATTAGCCGTATCCTACTGTGTGTCAAACTGTACAGCCTTAGCGCATCCAAGTTCAATAGTTACAGGCCAAAGTGGGTGGGGCAAGCTACTTTATTTAAGATAATTTATATATATATATATATATATATATATATATATATATATATATATATATATATATATATAAATATGAATATATTAATTTTTTTTTTTTTATTAGCCGTATCCTACTGTGTGTATAATTTCATCAAACTGTACAGCCTTAGCGCATCCAAGTTCAATAGTTACAGGCCAACCTAATATTCACGCACGCCGGCAGTTTACTGTCAAAAATTTCTCATGCATATACATCTTGTATGGGACCAACCGAAATTGACCGGCGTGCGTAAAAAGCTAACTCAAATTCCAAGATTTGTGTTGCGTGACATTTTGATTTGACGTCTGTGCTCTATGACATTTTGGCGCGACAATGAATTAAAATTTTGGAAAAAATGCAGAATAGCTTCGATTCTCAAATTAAAAAATCGATCGATAGAGATCATTGAGGTGAGTATAACGGTATATTTCTTTTCTTGCGAAAATAACGACTACAATAGTTATTAAGACTCAAAGTTCAAATTAAACAATTTTTAAATCCAAATTTTTTGAAAACGAATGCATGGATTTTAAAAATTTCGATCTCATTTGATAGAAAATTTGATTCCCTTTAATTTGATATAAATATAATCCTCCCTAAGTAGAATTTTCCTTTCTGTGTTGCCGCAGAAGGGAAGCGGAATTCCTTTCTGCGTACATTAATTAGATTTTTGTGAAAACTAAACAAGGCATATATAAAGTAAGTATATCAAATTAAAGGGAACTAAATTTCCTATCGATTGAGGTCAAAACTTTTAAAATCCATATATTACTTTTTAAGAATTTTTTATTTAAAAAATAGTTTAATTTGAACTTTGACCCTTAATAACTTTTGTAGTTTTTGTTTCCGCAAGAAAAGAAATATACCGTTATACTCACCTCTATGTTCTCTATCGATACCGTACGTTTTTTTTAATTTGGGAGTCGAAGCTATTCTGCATTTCTGCTCAAATTTTGCTCAACTTCTGAAATTGGACAGAAATGCAACTCTGAAAAATCACGCACGCAAATTTATTTCGGTTACTCAAATGTGAAGAACTTGCGTGCGTGCGTAGAAAAATTCACGCCGGTAATATTAGGTTGGCCTGTTAGGATGTGTGGTTGCTTGTGTATATAACCCCTGCCAGCCACGGCTCACCACTTTCCCCTGAAAATCAAACGATTTACAACTACATTCACAACTTTTTAGTCATCTCACCCACACACTTACAAATTTTTTGTTCGAACTGTCAAAAAAATGTCCCTTTGTTAGAGTTACATACCCGATATGAATTCGTACTCTAATAAGAATTCTATGCGTTAGAGCGAGCAAGTTAGAAACATCGGAGTTTTGATGACAGTATACATACTGTGAAGAAATGTCGCTGCGAAAATTTTGAAGGTAAGGATACGTATTTAACAATTTTATTTAATTAGAATGTAATTTCTTCTTTTAGATTGCAAAACAGCAGCGACTTAGTCACATTCTTAAGGTAGGTATTGAGACTTTTTATATGTTGATAAATTTGAATTGATATTTTTGTTTGTTTACAGATTTGGGATTCACCATCAGTACCTTCAACGTTTGCATCTTCATCGCCAGGAGCACCATTAAAACCTTCTGCCCTCAGCTTCTTCATCGCCAGGAGCACCACCAGTACCTTCTATCCTCAGCTCCTTCATCGCCAGGAGCACCATGGGTACGTTCCGCCCTCAGCACATTCAAAGCCAGGAGCACCTTCAAAGTGTAGGTTCAACTTTTCAAATTTTGCAAAGTTGTAAGAAAACTTAATTTTTCTGAGCCACTACAAATGATTTGCAACTCTTAATATATATCAAAAGAAAGGTAAACCGATTACCTTTCTTTTGATTATAACACCGTTAAAATCGCTTTACGTTTTCATAAAAACTTTGTAACTTTTGTAAACAGCTATATATAAGCAGTGAAAAAGTGGTAAAATTTGGAAAATTGTAACGAAACTGAATTTTTGTGCACCATTACAAATGATTTGCAACTGTTAATATATATTAAAAGAAAGGTAAATCGATTACCTTTTTTTTGATTATAATATTGTTAAAATCGGTTATCTATTTTATAGAAATTTTGCAACTTTAGAAAAGAAGTGAAAAAGTTGTAACATTTTGCGAAGTTCTAACAAAACTGAATTTTTGTGAACCAGTACAAAGGATTTGCAACTGTCAATATATATTAAAAGAAAGGTAAATCGATTACCTTTCTTTTGATTAAAATACTGTTAAAATCGCTTAAATTTTTTATATAAATTTTGCAACTTTTGAAAACAGCTATACGCAAACGAGTAGTAATAATAAGCAATTATGCAACCACATATGTATGTAAAAATATCTTTATTATTAATGTTAATTGTAATTATTATTCATAATATTGATTACTAACTATTTATATTAGGTTAACAATGTATTTTGAAAAATAAAATTTGCAAAATAAAAATCAAAAAAAATTTTAAGATTTTTTATTTAAAGTGAAGAGAGAGTGTGAAGAGAATGCAACCCTGCGCCAGCTGAAGTGGGCAATGCTAGACGAGTGCAGCTATATGTTTTCCTTACGAAGTATCTGAATGAGTGCGACAGTGATGCAAGGCTCACACGTATAGGGGGAAAGTGGTGACAATCTGCACACCGCCCATATAAATGTCACCAGTTTTGTCACCAGTTTTGAAGTGACCGAAACCCGCGGTTTCACCAGATTTTTCACCACTTTTGGCTGCCAGGGACGGGCAATTGGCAACGAGTGCCGGGTATGTAAAAATGTATATAAGTATATGCTTCTTCAACGTATGTACCTATGTACATATGTATGTACGAATTTTATGAGCCAAAGGCTTTGAGAGATTAAGGGGTAAATGAAATGTGCGAATACATGCATACGTTAAAATACCATGCGGGACCAAAACAAAGAAGCCGGTTCGGAACTTTTGGAGTTATGCGTATAAATATGAGCAGATAAAAAAATGAGCTTATATGTACATATGTATGTACCGTGTGCTACGTGTGTATATTTTTATAGCGGTTTTTTGGATAGGGGAAATTTTAGAATGCGCGGGATTAGGGGTACATATAAATACATATATTTCGATATATATGTATGCCTGTATCTACGTATGTCAGTTGCAGTAAATTAAAGTTCGATGCCTTTATTCACCGTACGAGAAAACCGCTATAAATTTTACATACGTATGTACATATAGGTATGTGCATAAAAAGGAAATATGTGCACACTTACGAGTTTTTCGGGTACCACCTGTAACCTTTTTGCAGTACTGTACCGCCACTGCCACCTGGGTTCCTTGGCTCCCTCCAGTCTCCGGTGTACAAATGTTGTTGTTGTTATGGTGCTCCTGCTTGAGCTGAAATGTGCCGCTTGTTGCTCGCTTTTCTGTGGCTTGCTTTGCTTATGGGCTTGCTGCCGCTACGTTGGCTGCCCTCGTTACGCCAACTGACTAGGGTGCTGGTGCTCTAACTTGAGTCCCGGTAATTTTTGGAGTCGCTGTGCGAGTACTGTACTCTGCTGTGGTCAACACTTTTGCGACGGCTACTTCGACCGTCCGCGAACCATACAAATTTAAAATTAAGTTTTTTTTTTTTAAATACACTTTTTTTGTTGTCTTTTGACTTTTTATTTTCGCTTTTAGGCACACTTTTACACCTTTTAGCTATAGGCACACTTTTTAGTATATTTTGTAGTTTTGCCTAATGTTTGCCCGCCACTTGTGTGATCACATGAATGTATGCATGTGTACCCTGTGGGGAAAATCTCTAGTTCTGGACTGGGGCGCTTCTAGTACATTTAGACCCAGTACTGGTTCGCGATAAATCTCTTTTGCATGCAAGCAACTGGCTAATTTAACATGGCGATGTCCTAGGAAGTGTCAATTGCCCTCCGCTGCATCCCTTTTTCGATAGTTCAGAACTAGTCCTAAATTCTATAGTTCCGAACCAGTTCTAAAATCGACAGACGAA